CAACCTCAAACTCTTGGGCTTAAGCCATTCTCTTGCCTCAACCTCCCAAGGAGCCGGGACTACAGGCACCTACCACAACGCCTGGCTATTTTCTTATTGCAGTCCTCATTGTTGTTTAGCTGGCCTGGGCTGGGCTCAAACCCACCAGCCTTGATGCATGTGGCTGTGCTGTAATCAGCGCCATAACCACTGTGCTACAGGCAATGACCCTGAAGGGAATTATGTCACAGTAACTTTAGCATTAATGTTGAGAGGGTGAATCAACACTAAACTCATTAAAAATGTTAAAAAAAAAAACAAACTTGCAACCAACTTATGAGGGAATATAGACAGTGGCTGGTATTTCTCTTTATTCTACTATTGGCTTGAACCAAAGGAAACAATTTTAAGTTAGTTATGGTGGGATTTTAATAGTATATAAACATCTAGAAAGTTATATTCATGGTATTAGTCAACATAGAGAAAGAAACAGAGCTAGAGCACTTTCTAATACAGTTCTCCTCACTTCCTCTTATAGTAAAATGTAATGTTAAGCTCAGTCTTCAATCTTCAGACATGTATAAAACACAGCAGCTCCAGTTCTATCTGGGCCCCTGGCCCCAGCCCCAACCCTGGTCTGAGCACGTGGAATGGCTGGGCTCATCATAGACTCTGGCATTTTTTCCATCCCTGTGTCTTTAACCAGACATAAAGCTCTAGCAAGGATTTTTATAGTATTATAGAATAGATAGCTAAGTTAAATGTTACAATCAATTATGATGATATTGCATTGGACATTTCAGATTCTGAACTGAAAAAAAGTATCAGTAGAAACATGGGCTTTTACTAAACTAACTTCAGCTTAGCCAGTCTTTTTCTAAATAAAAATAGAGCATTTATGTTGAATATGAAATACTAGAACATCCTTGGGATTAGAAATTGCTCTTTAAAAAAAAAATCTCATATATAGAATCCAATTGATAGATTTTGGCCCTATTGAATTTTTTGTTTTCTAAAGCCTGTCTTATTCTCTTTTGTTCATTTGATACATACTTTTGAGCATTTACTCTCCAATGGGCATTATTTTAAACTCTAGGAATACAGCAATGAACAAGACAAAGGAAATCCCTGCTCTCCTGGAGCTGACAGTGGGGAAGCAGATAGCAAACAAGTAAATTAGTAAGAATAAGTTTCAGACAAGACTAGAGTAGACAAAAAGAAAATGTGATGTGCTGAGAAATAAAACAGGATTACAGTAAGTACCAGAGTTACAAACATCCAATTGACATACCACTCACACTTGTGAATGGAGACTATTACAGGTTGTAGGGGAATGTACCAGTTCCGACTTACATACAAACTCAAGAACAAACTTATAGAACCTACCTTGTTTGTAACCTCAGGGACTGCTTATATATAATGAGTAGTAGGAGTCCTTTAGATTGAGTAAGCTGGGCAGACTTCTATATCACTGTGACATTTAACCTGAGGCCCAAATGACCAAGAAAATGGTCAAAGATGGCTTGGCGCCTGTGGCTCAAGTGGCTAAGGCGCCAGCCACATACACCTAAGGTGGTGGGTTCAAATCTAGCC